ACCACGGTCTTAGAATAATAGGTCTGGCAAGTCGACGCCTGAATGGTGTTTTTATTACGGTAAAAATCCGGATCTAGCGCAGTGCTGCTCTCTAGTAGTGTATTGTACGAACGCTAATATATTGGTTGTATAGATCTATATAGTAGATGGTGCTCTAAGCATTTCAATTTATTTATAATATATATATATTTTTTTATATTAAATAAGGGCATAAAATGTATAGGTATAATTTAAGTAAATATATTCTATATTCTGTATTATAGGTTATACCACCGTCTTAGAATAATATAATACAAAGTTAAACAATATAGGTTATAACTTATAAGTTATAACCATTAAAACTAAACAAAATGTATTAAGCTCAATGATATTGATATAATAAAATTATTTCAAAAATTGTCTTAGTTACTACATTTTTGTTACTTCTTTCATTTAAAATGCCCCAATTATGTTGTATATGTAAAAAGAATACTGAAGGTATTACTAGTTTTGTGGTGACTTGTAAAAGACTAGAAACTTGGGGAAATGTTTTTCAGGGGTTAAGTGTTGGACAGAGAATCTGTGAAAAACATTTTTCTTCGGCAGATATTGTGAGAGAAAAAATTGTAAAAGATTCTACAGGCAATATTTTGACTAAGGTGAGAAGTTATATTATAATAATAGGTACAAGTTATACCTAAGTCAAAATGTATTAATTTGTCTAAAAAGTTTGACTCAATTGATATGTGTAAAGGAATAAGTATACCAGAGGAACACAAGAAATACAAAACTAAAACTACTTGCTTTGATATAGATGGTCGTTTCCGGCATATAAACTGTTCATTAGTTTTCAATTATGAAAAATCTTTAAAAAAAATTCCGAAAATTAAAAGTTGTAAATACTGCACAAAAGTAGGGTACCTACATTATCCAAAATAAAAAGTATAAACATACTCAACAAAAACTACATAGAATACACATACAAGTAACACCAAGTAAACTAGACAAACTTAAACAACTACGGAAACAAAGTCAAATAAATATTCAGTTAAAAAAAAAATTAAAAAAGGTGGGTAAGTGGATGTCGCTCTGCTGTACAGTAGGTTACAAGTGGGTCACTGTATAATGGATGCTATTAAATTTGAATTCAATGATACAATATCATTGTATAAGAAAAACGATTCTGAGCGAAGACGGTATGTCAGTCTAGGTTTAATACAAATTATATACATATCTATGGTATTAAAAAAAAAATTGACCTATAATAAATTCCAAATTAATCATATCACATTATCACAATATCCATTAGGTACTTATAACACGTTATACATCAACATCAACAACAAACCCTGATACTATCATATATATATAATAGTACACTTTAGAAGTTTCAAGTAGGTACCCACGAATAATATTATATAATCACAACAAAATAACTAGGTTTTTTAATATGTAATTTCGTCCAAATTTGAATATAAAATGACTATAAAAGTAAACTGTGATTGTATATTTTTTAGATTTTTCGGTAAGAGAATTAACTACTTACGTGGAATCTTGTTTTAAATTTTCAATCCTTAGCTATAAAAACTGAACATTTTATAATTTATTAATTACGATGATTAATAATTTTCGAGATTTTGAAAAATTCTATCAAAATTCGATGTTAAAATGCTTATAAAAAAAAATTGTGCCTATGTATTTTTAATATTTTTCAACTGATATTGTAACAATATATCAGGAGCCTTGTATTACATTTTTACACTTTTTGGCCCAACAGATAAAACTTAATTGATATTTATAGAAAAAAAAAACGAAAAAAATTGAAAACTGAAAATGTCCGTAAACGGCTCAAAAAGTGTCAAAATATTTTCAAAATTGTAGGGTGTATAGGAAATGCTAATATAAACATTCAGTGAAATTTTCATGTATCTACAGTAATTCGTTTTTTAATTACAACAAAAAAAGGAAATTGCCACATGAGAAATCGAGTGAATATCCAATGTTGTAAAAATTTGAATTTCAAACGCTCATAAAAGTTTTAATTTGACTTTCCGGTAGAGATTTTTTTATTGATAAAGGTAGACAATCTTATGAGTAATCTTGTATTAGATTTTCAAATCTTAGATTTAAAAAGAAAAATTTTTACGAATTCTTAACTCAAAATAATTTGCTAATTTTCGTGATTTTTCCATATTTTGTCAATTTTTGAACTTTAAATGCTTATAAAAAAAAATTGTGACTAAGGATTTTTAATATTTTTCATCTGCCTTTGAAACAACATATTAGGAGCCTTCTATTAAATTTTCAAGCTTTCGCAACCAACAAATAAAATTTTATTGAAATTTTTAGAAAAAAAACTAAAAAAAAATGGAAAATGAAAATGTCCCTAAACAGTTCAAAATAAATCAAAATATTTTGAAAATGTTATCGTGTATAGAAAATGCAAATATAAACAACCAGTGAAAATTTCATGTATATACGTTCATTTGTTTTAGAGTTACACCAATAACCAAAATCGATTTTTTGGAAAATCAATTTTGCGTAAAAATTCCCGTTTTTCCTTAATTTTTATGTTGTTTTTCCCGGCGCTTGTGAAAACTACTGGGAAATTTTAAATTTTGACCTCCCCAATGCACCAACGATATTCACTTTCCAATCGAACAAGATACTGAAGTCGAAAATCGAAGCATTATTTCGACTACTTATCGTGTATACAGATACAAAAAAATAAAAAAAATAAAAAAACACACATCATTGTAAAATCAATACATTCATCGTTTCACTCAGAATCTAAAATAGATTGTCAGAATTAAGAACTAACTTATAATATATTTACATTACGTAATAGCATTGAGTATAGATATACTCAATGGTAATAGGTATATAATATTATTATTTATTACTAGGTATGTATATATATATACCATGATATATAATATAATAATATTGATGTGCTTAGTGTACCATCTAGCTTTATACAATAAATATATAGACGATCGTTGGCTTTAATATTAACCACTAGAGCGCAGCAGAGCGCTAGATCCGGATTTTTAGTGCGAAATCGACAACAGTTCTTTGTGTAGATAACTCTTGAGTTGCATAGGCCTGGTAATAACTAACAAGTTGCGCTCCAAGCGGCAGTATTAACCGATTATAGATATATAGGTGTAAAATTAGTTCTAAATGTAGAGTCTACATGTAGACACATATTGTTGAGTGTTGACATCAGCCACTAGTTAATTATTAACAGCTGTTTTATATAGTCACTTTGTAAATCAATCTGAAAGCCTTTTATATAGGGCGATGTGCAACCTATATAACTTTAATCGTGATTGGTGTGTTTCGTATTTGAAATATGAATAAAAAGGTCGAACCGACTACTAGCGCTTGGTGGCGATTCCGCTTGATAACGCGACAGTAAGAAATTCTTACTAAGAATTTTCACTTTTATTATCCAGTGGCAGTGGTCAGTCCTTATATGTTCATGTCCGCAACTAACACCGCGACTGTAGCGCTACGCATCTTCATCGATTTGATCGTAGAACAGGCACTATCGTGAAGTTTTTGCCACTAATCAATATATAGGTACCGTGTATTATTCGTGAAACTTCTGTATACCTTCAGTGTTATTATACTATTGAAATTTAGTGAAGGTAAAGTATGCCAATTAATTATACTTAATATACTGTTTAATGATGCAAACTTAAATGTTTCAATGCATGATATAAGGTACCAATTTACAGTGGCATAATTGATTCCGTACGTTTTAACCTAAGATTTTCGTGCAATGTTACCAGATTTGCATACGGTTACGTATTTGTCTTGTTTATAGTCTATTCATAATCATTATCTAGTATGACAAAACTTGTATACTTTTTTTTTACACAAACATACATGTTACAACTGTATAAAATGTATTCAGTTTCGTTTTGAGTGTACCTACTTGTGTATATATTTTTATATTTACTTACATATATTTGTTTTATTGTGATTGACAATTATGAAGTTCACATTTCTTTTATAGTCTGCTATTTATTTACTTATATTATATTGAACTACCTATATTGATGTGCAAAAACTTTGAACTTATTTACCTTTTTCATCATCATTCATAGTCCATTATATAATACTGTAATTGTCAACATTTACTTTAATAAAAACCCATACCAGGCCAAGATGTTATTAAATATTAACTAATCATAATTTATAACTAAAGCAATTTTATATTGCCATAGGATTGGTTCAGATATGTTGATATTATAATATGATACATTTATGTGTTTTATGAAATATACAAAACAGAATAGTTGATAAACAATTTTCATAATATAAGACATCCTCATTTATTTTATATCCCTCATAAATATTTAAAGTACCTATATGGGATTCTCCCCAATTAATTCTATATTAAATAATGGTAATTCTGTTAAGACTGATTTACCGAACGATATAATTTGTATTTGTTTATTGTGATAGAAAATCATGAATTTCACCTGTTCTTTATATACTATGATATTTAGTTATTTACTTATTTATTGAATTGTAGTTGTGAGCTAAAACTTTGTATTTATCTTTTTCATCATCAGTCATAGTCGTTACATATTTATGTAATTGGCAACATTTGCTTAAATAATAACTCATACCAGGCTAAGAGTGGCCAAGTTGTTAAATAGTTGTATTAATTAATCATTATTTATGACTAAAGCAATTTTATATTATTGCCATAGGATTGGTTCAGATATTATGTTGAAAATATATGATATATTTATATTTTGTTAAATATACAAAACAACAGAATAAGTGATTCACAATATTTTCATTATATAAGACATCCTTGTTTATTTATATTCCTTACGTATATGGTATTCTCCCCAATTAATAATCTATTAAATAATGACAATTCTTTACATACTCACTTTGATTATTTTTCTTTGATACATGTGTATTGTAATTGTTACTAGTAGTATTGTAAATTTCATGTAAATTCTAATTAAGGCACTTTGTTTTTTATTTGGATACAGATGAAACAGATTACTGATCTACACAATAATAGCTATGATTTTTGGAACATGCAGAAATACATAACCAAGATGTTTGAATGTATACCTAACAATCAGGGTAAGTACTATCATATTAAATTAGGACTGAGTTCTATAAGTAATAACAGAGTGTTAACCAATTTAGAAAAAAACAATTTCTTATTTTTGTCATTCTGGATTGTTCTGACAAGGTTTTTAGCTAGAGAGTATGTAAATGCACAATAATTAGAAATGACCCTCTTTCAGTTGATTTTAATTTTAGTTACATAGTTATTGAAGCAAAATTATTGATAAATATTCTCATACAGATAATATGGTACAAATAATAAATGTTTTTTGAAAAAGTTGTACTCGAGGTTGATCGATAGATTAAATTTATATTATTAATTGTTTAACAAACAGTACATAGATTGGAAATTTAATTCCTAAAAATTAACCAGATTTAAATACCTGCAGTCTTAGTAATGTTAGTTTATCTCATTCTCCTGTCAAGAATCAAAAATGTAATTCAACAAATAATTATAAACTGTAGATATTTTAGATTCTGAGCGGAGCAAGGAAGCTAGTGGTTTTACAATGGTGTTTATTTTTTTATTTTTTTTATATCCTGTATACAAAATTTCTACCAGAAGGAGTTCTTTGATTTCAACATATAGTACCTTATCTTTTAGCAAATTGGACCAAGATGGTACTTTAGAGAGGTCATTTTTCGATTTTCTCAATAGTTATTTAATGCCACGGGAAAAAGTACTGAAAAATTACGAAAAACCGCTTAAAATGGGATTTTAATTTCTAACAATTTGTTTATCACCGTAGCAACGAATAAAAAAAATAATAATTAAATAAATAAAATAATTAATGACAATATAAAATATACAGACTGACAAACCGTCTCCGTTCAGAATCGTTTTTCTTATACAATGATATTATATCATTGAATTCAAGTTTAATACAATCCATTAAACAATGACCAACTTGTAACCTACTGTACAGCTGAGTGACATCCACTTACCTGCCTTTTTTTTTATTTAAGAGGATGTCAGCTCACTTTTCGTTTTCTCTCTCTGGCCACACACAACATAGACAAAACACATATACGCAGGATAATTTTTTAATTATTAGGTAATCGTAGAGTAAAATCAACTATAACACAAAAGATAGAGAATAATATTTAAGAGGGAATAACATTGATTTATCTAAATATTGTCTCATAACAATTTAAACTTACATTTTTAGATTCTGAGTGAAACGATGAATGTATTGATTTTACAATGATGTGTGTTTTTTTTTTAATTTTTTTAAATTTTTTTTTTTATTCCCAGTAGTTTTCACAAGCGCCGGGAAAAACCACATACAAATTAAGGAAAAACGGGAATTTTTACTCAAAATCGGTTTTCCAAAAAATCGGTTTTGGTTTTTGGTGTAACTCTAAAAGAAATGACAGTATATACATGACATTTTCACTGGTTGTTTATATTTGCATTTTATATGCATGATAACATTTTCAAAATATTTTGTTTTATTTTGAACTGTTTAGAGACATTTTCATTTTGCATTTTTTTTTTAGTTTTTTTTCTAAAAATATCAAAAAATTTTATTTGTTGGTTGCGAAAGCTTGAAAATTTAATAGAAGGTTCCTCGTATATTGTTTCAAAGGCAGATGAAAAATATTAAAAATCCTTAGTCACAATTTTTTTTATAAGCATTTAAAGTTCAAAAATTGACAAAATATGGAAAAATCACTAAAATTAGCAAATTATTTTGAGTTAAGAACTCGTAAAAATTTTTCTTTTTAAATCTAAGACTTGATAATGTAATACACGATTCCTTATAAGATTATCTACCTTTATCAAAAAAAAACATGTCTATTAAAAAGTCAAATAAAATTTTTATGAGCGTTTAAAATTCAAATTTTTACAACATTGGATATTCACTCGATTTCTCATGTAGCGATTTCCTTATTTCCTTGTAATTCAAAAAAGAATAACTGTAGATACATGAAAATTTCACTGAATGTTTAAATTAGCATTTCCTTTACACCATACAATTTTGAAAATATTTTGACTCTTTTTGAGCTATTTACGGACATTTACCGCTTTCAATTTTTTTTTGTTTTTTTTTCTATAAATATCAATAAAGTTTTATCTGTTGGGCCAAAGAGTGTAAAAATGTAATACAAGGCTCCTGATATATTACAATATCAGTTGAAAAATATTAAAAATACATAGGCACAGTTTTTTTTTATAAGCATTTAAAGATCGAATTTTGACAAAATTTATCAAAATCTCGAAAATTATCAATCATTGTAAATAATAAATTATAAAATGTTCAGTTTTTATAGCTAAGATTGGAAATTTAAAACAAAGGTTCTCATAAATAGTTCATACTGTAACCAAAAAATCTAAAAAATATATGAATACAGTTATGTTTTACAGACATTTTAAATTCAAATTTGGACAAAATTACATATTAAAAAACCTAGAATAACTATTTTAGTTATTTTGTTGTGATTGAATAATGTTATTCGTGAGTACTTGAAACTTCTAAAGTGTACTATTATATATCTATGATAATATGACGGTTTTTGTTGATGTATAACGCGTTATAAGTAGGTACCTAATGGATATTGTGATATGATTAATTTGGAATTTATTAAAGGTACCTATTATAGGTCAAATTTTGGTTTAGTACCATAGATATGTATATAATATGTCTTATACCTAGACTGACATACCGTCTCCGCTCAGAATCGTTTTTCTTATACAATGATATTATATCGTTGAATTCAAATTTAGTATCATCCATTATACAGTGACCCACTTGTAACCTACTGTACAGCAGAGCGACACCCACTTGCCGACCTTTTTTTTGTTTATTTTGAAAATTGAATACAAAGTCAAATAACAATAAAATATAAAATTGACGTCATTCCCCCAAATATATTATTCCCCATCTTTTTTGTAATGGGTGATTTTACTCTGGGTGAAGATTACTTAAATAAAGAAAATATGATTCTGAATTAATGCGTTTTTTCTATGTTGCTCGTGGCCAGAGAGAGAAAACAAATAGTGCACCGATATCCTCTTTAATAATAAAATTGTTATAAATTATATTGAAATTTTAATTATTTAAACATGTACAATGTGAATCTCTAGTTTATCCAATATCAATAATATTATATTATTAATTGTTTAAAAAAAACAGTACCAAGATTGGAAATTTGGTTCATAAAAGTGTATCAGATTTAAATTGTACAACAGTCTTGGTTATGTCAATGTATCTCAATTTTCTGTCGAGATTCAAAAATTTTAATAGTTAGCCATTAGTTCTGATTTTATATCATTAGACTTCTGAGTGGATAAATGTACAGGATTTTCTTTTAAAAATGATATACGGTTTTCTTCCACAAAAAAGAGGTTCTTTCCATTTTCCTCCACTTATTTTTTTGATCTAGAATCATGTTTATTTTCTTTAAATATTAAGATCATTAATTTTTTTTTTGGTTTTATGTATGAAATGATGACACAAATTAGTTGATTTGTATTTGTGTATCTAAATATTTATAACACTCATAGTTTTAATAATAAATGGTCCATTCTAAAATTGATGATCTCTGTATGCCTATTATATTTTAATGTTGTTGTTATTATTGTTCTTAATTATTATAAAAATTAATATTATTTCATAATATTTTAAATTATAATTTATTACATATTTTATGTATACCTATGAATAAAAATAATATTGAACAAAATTCCTGTTCAGAAAATGTTTTATATTTAAATTAATAAGAGAGACAATTTCTTACTTTGATAATGGAAGTTAATTGTAAATATTTGTTTTTTTTTTTTTTTTTAATGCAAATTAACAGGTATACGGTATCTTGTTTTTAGAGGAAAATGTCTTATTGTTATGTAAAGGTGTCCGTTACTCTATGAATCATAAAATAATGTTTAATCGTTTTGCTTTTTGTTATTTTATTGGTTAATATTTATGGGATTCACTGTTAAAATAAAATAAATAATTATATAATTTGTATATTGTATGTACTAATAAGTAATAACTAATGCGTAACAGTATATCACCTATTAGGAGTATTACCATATACATAGAAAATAGGGAAACAATAGATTTGCATACCATACCATACCATATTCTTATTATTTATTTATGTCTTCAAAATTGTTTACTAAAAGTATTTCGGTAAAGACAATTACAATAATTTACTTATCAATTGTAAAATTGGGTTTTACACTCAAATGCCCTTTTAATTTTAACCTTTCAGTTTTTTTTCTATAATAGAAAGATGAAATTTTTGGCAAAGGAGGGTTTTTTTCATTCACTGTTATAATATGTGTTTGTATAATATTGCTGTGGTTCTCTAAGAAATATTCTAAAGTGCATCCAATTTTTTGATAATAAAAAATCCATGACAACATATTTGTTAAAATCAAAACTTAAGGTACACCAACCACTCCTAGTACACAATATTGAGATTTGTGTTATTGATTTTATTCATGATAGGTCTGTATAGTTTTTATTAGTTGTTAAAAAAAAAAAACCTCATCACTGATGAAAAATGCATAGTAATATGATAAACAATTTGGTTAGCAAAGAGATATAAAACATTTTAATACCAAAAACTCATTTTTAAAAAATGTCTTAGTACTGGTTATTATTGTTATGCCAACGATTAGATGATAAAATTATTTATTTAAGTTATTCATGTATTGTTTTTTGTTTTGTTTTTTTTTTTTATTTTCAAAGAAGAAACGAATGGTGAACATTGGCATTTGACATAATATGTGTAATAGGATCATTTTTTATACTTTTATTATATTAATGTAAGCTTATAAATTATAAGATAAAATAATTTAAATGTTTCAGAATTATTTAACAAGAAGTTTATTTTACTGCACATAAATTGTCATACTCATAATGGAGAACAATATTATTTTCCTGCTGAAATTGCAGCACTGGAATTTAATTTATTAAACGGTGTCTCTCGCACATATCATCAAATTATTGGTCTTTGTAAGTATTTTAAATACTTTAGTAGTGTTGAGAAGTCTCTTAATATGGGTAGGTACTGTTAAAATTAAACATTTCATTAAGGACAAGAATCACGTTTTCCTAATTGTGGTTATTTAAAAAAATGTTTTAAATATTATATTATTTTATTGTATTATACATGGCATCTGTTTCATGACTGTATGTAAAGGATAGGTGACCTTCCAGAAACATGTGAAAATATTCTGAAGTTAAACCGCTCTATACTATAGTCCATAATATTATCAAACAATCTGGCGGTTGATGACTGTCCACCATGAGGCTTTCTACAGCTGGTGCCAAAAATGTATTTGGTGCCCTATACTTATTGAAACGAGGTTTTTGTGTGTGAATATTACCAATATACTGTTTCAATTGGCTTTAGTCACCAACCGCCAGTTCGTTTGACGTAAACTCAATCTAATTAACCATTAAATTAGCTTTAATAAGACACATTTAATTCATATTCATAGCTAAAATTTATCCGAGAGGTTTTGCTGGAGGTATGAGACAATTTTCTGATGAATTTCATCAAATTTCTTGTTGGCATGAACATCCGGATGATTATCAAAATATATTAATGGAATTCACAACATTTTTAAAGGTAAATGCAATAGTTGTACAGATATTTGTTCAATATTAATTTTATTATTTTAGGATGGAACCAATCATACAGATTTACAAGAAGGCACACTGGACTTACCATATTTGTACACTGTAGAATCAGACATTGGTGTAGATATGATGAAAACTAAAAGTAGTTTGGAAAGGTTATACTCCACAGCTTTTCCGAAAGGTAAATCAAATTAATATAACACAATTATTATAAATCATTATCTATAAAAATAATAATTTAAAATTTTAAAATAAATGACAACTGTCAGGTTAGTCCAACTGCACTTACACAACACAACACAACTATTGGCATTGTAACAAATTAATTTTTGGATCAAATTATTAATATTAAGTTTATATATTTGATCATATTATGTATTCAGTATTGTATTGAGATATTTTTTAATTTCTATAAAATTATAAATAAAGTAAAACAAAGAATACATTAGAAATAAATTTAAAATAGCAAGTAAATATATTTTTTGAGTATCAAATGTTAAATAATAAGCGGACACGTCTTACAAACTACATACTAATACTATAATATTGTACTACATACTAAATATGCGTTCAGTAGAAACTTTTTTGTATTGATATACATTTTTACTTTTTTTTAACCTATGTATAGAACTTTTCAAATTTTGTAATTTTCTTTTAAATTATTGCTGGTAAAAACTATTTCACTTAGTAAAAAAGCTTAAAAATGGAATGCAAACTTTCTTTAATAGCAGTTTAAAAATATTAAAGACATAAGCAAGAGAATTTGAATTTCAAATTTTAATAAAAACCATCAAAATCCCGAGAATTTGCAAATTATATTTCAGTTAGAAATTCATAAATGTTTTTGTTTTCATAGCTAACTAGTCATTTTAGTAGAAGATTCTTCACAAATGTTTATCCTTTTAACAAACAACAAAAAAATTACTTGAACTGAACATTCAAGTACGAGCGTGATTGAATTAAACATTTTCGCGATATATCAAAATCCCGAAAATTTCAAATTATTTGTCTGTTAAAAACCTATAATCGTTTTTCTTGTCATAACTAACAAACAAATTTTAAAAGAAGATTCCTCAAAAGTTTTTCCAAATTAAACAAAAAAAAGAGTACCCGGAAAGTTAAGATATTTATAGCCATTTCAAATGAGGTATTTTCGATTGAACTCAAATATAATACATCCATTAATTCGACATACTCGCATCTTTACAACGGAGCAATACCCACTTGTTCATCTTTTCTTTTTTTTTTCTTTAATTTACCAATTACATTTGCAAGTAAAATTGTTTGTTCATCTGTCATCTGTAATCACAATATACCTAATAATTCTATTGAATACAATTGTGTCTGTATACATAAATAATATATCACTCATTTGTACAATTTTTACTTATTGTATCTATTGACATACAACAACCATCTAGTATATTAATGTAGTTTAGTTAGAACAAATTAGTATCCACAACATATTTACTTATCAATGTTTATTTAAAGGTGGGTTATTATTTAAATAAAGATATCATTTTGAATGTTAAGCATAGTAATATAATTTATAAGTAATATATTAGTGGATTTTTTAATCTTCTTTAATTTTTAATCTTCCTACTTGCACCTATCTCTAAAATATTTATTTAATTTTATAGTTGATGCTGCACATTTAAAGTCTATATTCAAAATAGGAAGTATTGAAAGATTATTGTTGGAAGTCAAAAAAAAATTGAACTTGCACTTAGATCAACGTAATTTAAGATCAGGAATGTCAGTTCATGACATTTTAGAATCTGAAATGTATGGACATGGTCTCGGTTGTATGGTAATGTTATGTTGATTATTTTTAATTGTCATAATATAATATGTACGATCTTATTGTAGTTTATATAATAAATTATTTTTTCTACAATAAATTAATGATTATTACAACAGTTTAAACTGTTCACTTTACAAATAATTATTTGGTTCTTAAGTGAAGTGAATTCCTCAGGTCTGTTTTAAATGTATGTTCTATTTGTAGTACCATGAGATAAGAGATATTGCATTCAAATGTTCTAAAGCTCGCATTCTTCAGTGGATGTCAAATATTTGTACCCACATCAATACATATACTGGCTTACAGCTTGTGCCTGGAAAACACATTGCAGTTCAATTAAGAGATGGTTCAAGAATGGTAATGCTTTATTATTATTTATTACTACATTGCCATACATTTATACATAACAATTGTGTATTATCCTATATATTTTGTATTGTTTGTTTAAGATTGTTGAAAATGAAGATTTGCCTCTCTCGAAACAAGATTTAAAACTAGAAAATATAAATTAATTTGCATTTCCATCAATTTTTTCTTTTTTTTAGTACATGACTACGTATTGTAAAACAATTGCTGTTTTTAATAAATTAAAAAAAAAATATTAAAATTAAAATACACTTCAATATATAAATGTATTCTGTTTATCATAATTGTCATTTTTTTAATGACCGATTAACCGATTAATCGATTTTTTTTTAATGACTGAGTAACCGATTAATTGATTTCTTTAATGACTGATTCCGATGAATCGATTTTTTACTAAGGGCAAATTGATTCCTTAACTTCTACACAATTTTAAACAGGATTTGCAGTAAGTCATTTAGATGTAGATGTCCACTTTTATATTATCCTTAATACATTCCCAATCATTGAACCCAAAACATCATATTAGCACAGATTTTCAAATTTAAATATTTAATCTATATTATTAGTGGGTATCTATCTATGAATTGAGAACTTTACATATTTTAAAGATAATCTGAGTCTAAAAATATTTTATAGTTTATAATATAAGACTAAACAATAACTATAACAATATAAATTATGAATATTAATAAGTTGTGAATATACAAATGTTGCTGTATAATAATATTTAAATAATATTATAATTATTATTCTTATTATATTATTATGTATTCATTGTTCCATTAAAAATCTAAAAAAATGTACTTAGTACTTAAGAACATCAATTATGCTACTTGCTACTATGGCTATACGAGGATAATTGTTAGGTACCAACATGAATAGTTAATCATAATAAACCAGACTGCTTTTTTTCAGTCATCTTGAATGATTTTTTTAATTCAAACATAGAATAGTAAATATTCTATTAAATGAACAAAATTATTTTTATATACATATCATGTAATAAGTTAAGCTAAAGCTTGAGTTATTTATTATTTTTAAGAATTTAAAACTTATAAAAATAATACATACAAATGTACCTTTATTAATAATATAATAATTAAATCATAACATTTATCTTTATAATAATGTAATAAGTAAAACATACCCTTTGGCCTTATGGGTGTAAACTAACAAATAATATTTATAATAATATTTCAGAAATTAAAAGCATTTGGAAATAACATAGTCAATAACGAATAAATTGTAAAAGTAGGTAGAAATATTTAACTCAATGCACGAATACCGGAATAGGAATGACAAAATTTTAAGCTATACAAGACGTTATGGTTGATATTTGATAGAAGATAGACAATAGAACATAATTACATAAGATACGACGTACAGCAACCATGGACAGGTCTGACCAGGTCTGGTCTATTAGAACATAATAATATATTATGGAAGGTTAGTGTGTTGGTGTAAAGTAAACACGGGCCCACACAAAATGGTATAGAATACGAAATTCCCTATGTTCTAAAAATAGAAGTTCATTCGAACCGTCAAAACAACGATTAATCATATTGTTTATTCGAAAAATTTAATTATTTGATTAATCGGAAATTCGATTATTTGATTAATCGGAAATTTGATTATTTGATTAATCGACGCTAATCGACGCTAGATGTTCGACGCTAAGAACATGATGGCCGCGTGTGACCCCCGACACGGCCGATACCTGATATAAGATGATTTCAAACTTTTACCTCAGAAGCGGTCTAAACGAGTTCCATAATTATCAGGAGAGTTGGCGACTGATGAAATAATTGAAAAGTCAATAGACAAATTTAAAATGAATACATTTTTAGTAGCGTATGACACGTCAATTATTCAAATTTAATCTAGATTTGCTGAACAAACTTTTGGTATATTCTAAAATATATCATTATTTTCTCGTATTGCGGAAATATCAAAAAAATTACAAACATTGAATATAGATTCTGTGTTTGCCGATGTCTACTAAAGAGTAAAGATATATCAATGTTGAATACATTTTGAGAGAGTATTTAGATTTCTGCAAATTTTATTTTGGTTTTGAAAAAATTAAGTATATACCAACAAAGTTACATAACAGAAATAACGATGAAATTCATGAAGACTCTTCATCTTTGGACTCTGATAATTCAAATGTAGGAACTGAACAACAAATTCAAAGAACTTCCCAATGATGGATGCAGTCTACGTATTGTTTTTAATTTCCTTATAATCAGTGGCTTAAATACAACCTTCCCAACACTAAATGTTGCTTTAAAAATAGCCTAAAAAATAAATTACGATGTGTCAAGAAATGTTGGATAATTTAATAATAGATACTGTCCTGTAAAGCTGACATTCCTATTAACAAAAATAACGTTTATTACCTATTTAGTGTCGTAATTTGTAAAAAAAAAGCTCGGTGACTCCATCTCGTCCATGCCCTCGCCGGTGTACCAATGCAAGAACGCCTTTCGCCGGAACATGGACGTGAACTGTTCAGAAAAGATGGGCAAGTGGGTGTCGCTCTGCTGTACAGTAGGTTACAAGTGGGTCACTGTATAATGGATGATACTAAATTTGAATTCAACGATATAATATCATTGTATAAGAAAAACGATTCTGAGTGGAGACGGTATGTCAGTCTAGCCGTCTAGGTATAAGACATATTATATACATATCTATGGTACTAAACCAAAATTTGACCTATAATAGGTACCTATAATAAATTCCAAATTAATCATATCACGATATCCATTATGTACTTATAACGCGTTATACATCAACAAAAACCGTGATACTATCATAGATATATATAGTCCACTTTAGAAGTTTCAAGTACCCACGAATAATATTATACAATCACAACAAAATAACTAAAATAGTTATTCATTTTTTTTTTATGTAACTTTGTACAAAGTTGAACTTAAAATAACTATAAAAATAAACTGTGCTTATTTTTTTTTTAGATTTTTTTCTTGAAATAATATTGAATAGTTTGAATAGTTTTAAATGCCTATTATATATTTTGATACGTGTCACTGTAATTACAACAAATAAATAAATAAAACTGTATATTTTATATTTATATTTTGTTCGATAAGCGATAACTAATCTTAATGTACTTTTGTAAAACCTAATGTATAGCTCACATAATACCTACAGGCTACAGTATCTAATCTTAATTATTTTGGTAATCGATGGTCAGTAGAGAAGTATAACAGATTTTGTCTATGCCATTGTCAGTAATCACGGTGCGCATAAAATCATACATACGACGTTTATTTTTTTGGTATATATCTGTTTTGTTGCATTAAAAGTTCGTGAATTTTTCATTTAAATATCTACGCACGTGGAAGTTAATTATTTTTAAAAATGAATAAATATTTACAATTCAATTTATCATCTTGGATTTCTACCGAGCCAAAATCAAAAAAACGTAAAATTGACAGCTTAGAAATTATAAGTTCTAACAATCACGAGGAAGTTGATGGTCAGTGCAATAAGTTAGACGTGGTTAAATCTGTTAGTATGCTTGATATTGGAAAATTTGTAAATGGTAGTGTTAGTGAGTTGAGTATCAAAGAACAATTATTAAGCAACCCTTGGTGTCCCCTAAACGATTATAAGTTTCCTGTGAGTGCGGGAAAACGAAATTTGCGATTTCAACCTCATTGGATGGATCAGTATTCGTGGTTAACCTACTCAGATCTGTTAAATGGCGTTTTGTGCAAATACTGGTTAGTATTTGCCAGATAATGTGCAGGAAAAGGAAATTACATTAAATTAGGAGCTCTGGTTTTAAACAGTTTTTCAAACTGGAAAAATGTGTTGGAAACTTTTCAATCACATTCAAATAATTTGTACCATAAAAAATCTGTAGAATCTGCTGAACACTTTTTATCTATACAGCGGGGTTTACAACCAAATATTGTTCAACAAATTGATGTAGGTTTAAAAAAACAGATTGAATAAAATAAAATAATCTTCGTCCAATAGTTAATACTATAATAATGATGGGTAGGCAAGAAATTACATTTCGGGGTACTTCGGATTTTGGACGATTGACGGTAAGCGATAGCGAACCTATAATAAACGAAGGTAATTTTCGTGCAATTTTACGAATGCGTGTTAAATCCGGAGATTCGGAATTAAAAATCATATTGAAAGTGCTCCATGTAATGCACTTTATACTAGCCCGGATATACAAAATGAGTTTATTTCGATTTGTGGAAAATTAATTCTTGAAAAAATAGTCAACAGTATAAATAAATCAAAGTGTTTTTCAATTATGGCAGATGAAACAACCGACATAAGTAAAATTGAACAAATGCCCTTATGTATCCGATATATAGATATGTCTGCAGATAATTATAATGAACTTAAAATAAGAGAAGACTTCTTAACATATTAAGAGTTTTTAGTAATTGATGTTACCGGAAATGGGATAGCATCAAGTATTTTAAATTCATTAAACAGTATGAAAATAAATTTAGAACTATTATGTGGTCAAGGTTATGATGGGGCGGCCGCTGTGAGTGGCCATTTAAATGGTGTACAAGCTAAAATTAGAGAACATTATCCTAAAGCTCTGTACGTCCACTGTAGCGCTCACTCTTTAAACCTGACACTAAGTCATTCTTGTAAAATTCAACAATTTCGAAATTCTATAGGAAAAATTCATACTATTTGTAACTTTTTTAAATCATCAGCTCAGCGTACACAAATATTAAAACAAAATATTTTTAAGTAAATACCAGGAATTAGTAAAACTACGTTAATTTCAATGTGTGAAACGAGGTGGGTTGAAAACCATGATGCACTCCTAAGATTCATTGAAATTTATTGTCCAGTCTTGTACACGTTAGAAGAGATGGAAAACCTCCATAATAGTGACACTTCGTCTAAATCCTCACAATTACTTAATGCTATCATTAAAAGCGAGTTTGTTATTAGTTTTAAAGTAGCAGGTGAATTATTTTCTTTGACTTTGCCTCTTTGCAAAGTTTTACAAAAAGTTAACTGCGAACTTTACACGAAGCATGTGAACATAGTGAAAATATATCCGAAATTTTAACAGGTTAAGCGCCAAGCCAAAAAATTGAGTTTTGGATAAAGCGCCACGTTGGGTCTATTAACCCGTCGATGTGACTTGTAAATAGCGCCACGTAGGGTTTTGAAGCCCGTCGTGCAGTACTTGTCTTTATCGCCACGTAGGGTCTGCAAAACCTTCATTTTACATGTTTTCTTATGGAATTCAAATAGAGCGTGGCCTGTAGGGCAAGTTTGTAAAATGGTTCATTGAAATACCCCGGCGTTTTAATTATATGGCCTAATGTATAAATAGAAAGTGTTTGGAAAATTTCCATCGTTATCGATTTGTAATCGCACAATTAGTTCGTCAGTTTTAATAATAATAATAATAATAATCTTTATTACTGTGATATAATAAGTGGTAAACCTATCGTAATATTACGATACAACACAGTCGGTCGAGGAACGTGTTTCGTGATTGACACATTTAAATTCTTGTTTGTTTTAAAATGGACGAACGCATAGTAAATTGGCTGAACAACAGTGATTTTGAATTTGATACAGATGAGAGTGAGGATGAAGTAAGAAATTATTATAATCATTGTACTGTTTAAAAATATAATAAAATAAAATAAAATATATTTATTTGTAAAATATAGGTCGATGATTCCGATATTGATCCAGATTATTTCCCAAACCAACAGCCTAATGAAGAACAAAATACATGGAATTGTGACAATGATGGTATTGAAAATGATGTCGACGAAAATGTTCAACTCATAGCCGATGAATTCGAAGATGATGTTAATGTTAATACGCCAAGCAATGAAATTATATGGGGACCAGTAACTGGTAATCTAAATACAATAACTTACAACCCACTTAATTTAGACGTTGGTATTAATCCTGATATCATTGATTGTATGGAAGATTGCGCTCCAATAGATTTTTATGCATTATTTTTTGATGAAAATGTACTAGATTTTCTAGTTTCTGAGACCAATCGTTATGCACACCAAATAATAAATTCACGCATATTATCAAAATGTTCTCGTTTGAAAAAATGGACTCCTATTGACCGTACTGAGATGAGAAACTTTTTAGGACTTATCGTATGGATGGGATTAGTGAATATGCCAAATTTAAGAGATTATTGGAGAAAAGATTTCCTTTATAAAACTAGAGTGCCAGAAGTAATGAGTCGTAACAGATTTGAGTTGATTCTAGGAATGTTTCATTGTGGAAATAATGAAATGATTGAGTATGGTAGGCTAAACAAAGTACAACACCTAGTTGATATGTTAGTAGCCAATTTCAATAAATGGTATATTCCTGAAGACAAAGTATGTATAGACGAAAGTGTGGTTCCTTTTATAGGACGATTAGTCTTTAGACAATACCTTAAGAACAAAAAACATCGTTATGGTATTAAGATATTCAAATTATGTTCTAAAGATTTTTATACTTTGCGTTATAACATTTATGCCGGGAAAGAAGTAATAAGAGAAACTGACGTATCTTACAAAATTGTATTGAAGTTGATGGAGCCATATCTTAACTTTGGACGAACCTTGTATACTGACAATTGGTATTCGAGTGTTAAGTTAGCTGAAAAACTTAACCAAGAAAATACACATTTGGTGGGAACTCTTAGGGCCAATCGTAAGAATAACCCGGAAAATGTAGTGAAAAAAAAATTAAAAAAAGGAGAGGTAATTGCTTCACAGAGCAACAACAACGTAGTTATTCTTAAATAGCGGGATAAACGTGACATTTTATTAATCACAACCAAACACTCTGACCAAATAATAGAAATACAAAAAAGGGATACGATAATAAAAAAACCACTCGTTGTCGAAGATTATAATACAGGAAAATCGTACATAGACCGTTCTGATCAAATGTCATCTTACAGTTCACCTTTGAAGAAGACTATTAAATGGTATAAAAAAGTGGCCTTTGATATTCTTCTATCCACAGCAACGGTCAATGCATTATCATTATTTAAGTCTGTAACCAAAAATAAATCTATAACAATAACTACTTTCAAAGAAGAAATTATCAAGCAGCTACTATACAAACCAAATGTTCCTCAGCCTATTTCACCAGGCTTAAAACACTTACTAGTTACAACACAAAAAAAAAGAATGTGTAAGCCGTGTTATGCGCAGAAGTCGGAAAATCTTGGTAGATTAGAAGCTCAAAACAAAACAAGAAAAGTATTTACTCATTGTGAAGGATGTAAACAACAAATGTGTAGAGATTGCTTTATAAAAAAACACAAAAATGTATTGTAGACATTATTTACAGTTATAATCATTTATTAATATATAAATTACAATATATTATATTGCATATGTTATCTTATGTAATTTTTTTTTTTAATTTCAAAATAAAATGTATTATTATTCATTATATCTGATGTATGAATGTGTATTTTATATCATAAGTTAAAAATTGTACTTTTACATAACACTAAAAATTGAATAAAGGATCTAATGACCCTACACTTGTCATTAACGCCACGTAGGGTTCTAAGATCCATCACATTTTTTATGTGTGCATTCAATTCAGGTAAGAAAGATAATCAATAGTTAATATGTGAACAAAAGTGATAATTGTCTTTCGTCTCGATGAAATATAAAAAAATGTTTAGACAAACCTACTGAATTTAATAAGAATCATTTTGAAAAGTCGAATGAAAGGTCAATAGATCCTACGTGGCGCTTAACCTGTTAATGAACAAACGAGAAAACGCCAATGAAGAGTTTTAAATTTTATTTAATAAATCTAAAACCATGTTAGAATCAGTTAATAATGAAAAAGCTATACCAAGAATTAATTCTCGTCAAACTAAACGTATCAACATTAAAACCAATGATCCAGAAGAATATTTTCGAATTTCAATTTTATATACCCCTATTAGACGACTTTATACAACAACTAAATGAACGATTTAATAACAAGAAAGACTTAATAACAAGCCTGCAAAACGTCATCCCCAAATTTTGTGTCAATAAAAAATATGAAAACATTAAACCTTGTGTTGATTTTTATATTGGTTATTCAAACTCACTAGCTATTCGTTACGGTAGACAAAATGGACCAAGATTTTGGAGAAAGATGGACCATCAAATGTTTTTAACGCGTTGTCCCAGTGCAATCTAGATTTTTTCCGTCGATTTCTTATTTATTAAATGTGTTGGGAACTTTGCCCGTATCAACATCAACACCTGAAAGGACGTTTTCAACTTTAAAACGCCTAAAAACGTTTTTAAGAAACAGAACCAGACAAGAAAGGTTAGTAGGACTAGCCCTCATGAGTGTACATAGAGATATTGAAATTGACACTGAAGAAGTTATCAAAAGATTTTCAGATACGTCAAGGAAAATTAAATTAATATAGTTGTATTGTAGTACGTTTTACACATTTCTTTATTTTTTTGATATATTTATTGTATATAGTTAACTTGTATACTAAAGTGTATGTATTATAATTATTAAGCTAGAAATATAAAATAATGTACATCATCCGACTACAACTACGGACCTTATATTAGCACTAGGTGCTAGTCAAGGGCCGTAGAGGCATATGACCGCCAACCGACGGACCCTCCCCACACCGTTGCATGGCCAGAGGACCGCCGGAGACTGACGACCGCACGTCGTCAAAGGACCACGAGCACCGGACGCGCACGGAGGAATACCCCGGTGCGCCCGTACCATCCGGCTAGGGCATACAGGTGCCTTTCGCCACCTTGTTGAGGCCGCAATCTATCCATGTTGCTTTCCGTTTTTGGTCACGGACAACTTTCGCTGCATATAGCTCCAACGATAAGCTGGGTGTGCGCTAAGGAGGGACCGTGCTTTCCCGGCCGACTGTCGCCGTACGAGTCCGCCCGGTCCCGTCACTCGGCTGCTTTCCCCTGGCCAAACGTGCGGCCTATCACCACATAGTATGCTCCTGCAAACTGCCACTTCGAAACTAATCCGCCGTCGGTCGAGGCAGTGTCCACCACGACCGACGTGTGAGGGCTCGGTGTTAATCGCTCAACACCGAGGGGCCCCCTCACATCCCGAAGCACCATTCTCGCCTCCCATTAGGTAAGGCACATCATTGGTGGGATGCTCGGACGAAGCGTCGTTGGCGGCAAGCCTCAGCTTATGGTCCTCCCGAGATTCGGGCCGTGTACCACGGGCTCACGGTGGGCCCAACTCCGCCTCCCAGAGGCGTCACCAGGTGGCTAAGCCCAGTGACCGACCCGCTCTTCACGAGGTCGCGGTCAAAACCTCTCAACGCCCTAATCCCCGTAGGTTTCGGTGCGTCCATGCCCCGGGCGCCGACCCCGACTGGTCATTTTCCCTTTTAGTTGCCTTCTACGACAAGCAGGGAATACTGATGCGGAATTCTGTACGGCCCCCGCAACAGGGCCGAACTCCGCGTCCCTAACGTATGAGCATGTCCCAGGCCAGTAACGCGCTCGGGCGTGTTCCCCCGTTTCTGCCGCTTACGCCATTTATGCTCATTGGGAACACCCCGAGTCTGTGCCTTCCATCGCTGGATGGGGCGGCGTTCTGGCCGTAAAGGTTTATTAACCTTAACTGGCTGTCGTCTTTAACTTTCCTTATTTCTACCGATCCGTCGGGTTTGTTATGACTTCTCTTGCGAATTTCACTAGAGCTTCGTACGTTGCCTTATTAGTGAGGAAGGCACCATCCGCTGGTGGCCATGTAACGCCTTCATCGCTGAGAGCTCTTTTGAGTATGTTGCGGGCACCTCTGGTCCTAGGGCAAAAACGCAGAACGTGATTGACCGTCTCCGGTTTGCGGTCGCACTCGCATATCGGGTCTGCCACAAGGTTAAAGCTGTGGAGCTTAGCATGGAAATCTCCATGGCCAGTTAGAAATTGCGTCGTAAAGTGATCCAGTGTCATCGGCAGGTTGAACCTCAACCTGACCGACGGGATCATCTTTTTCGTCCAACTGCCTTTAGGCAAAGTGTCGTACCGGAGCTGCCATTCGTCAAAGAGATCGTTTTCCGCTGTAGCAAAGGCTTCGGGCGACATCTCTTGACTCAGGTGTTTTCGTTTAAGAGCATGCAGCCTTATCTCTAGGTCTAGAGGCAATGTCCCTGCAACTACAGGGAGGCAGTTTGTCGACACAGTGTTGTATGCCCCCGTCATTGCCAGTAGAGGTGCTCTCTGGGCGCTGAGAAGCTTTTTCTGGCTCTTTATCAGTTTGGTACCTGTGTCCCAAACTTCCGCAGCGTAGGTTATGCGAGGAAGGAACACCCCTCTGTATATGGTCCTAGCAGCTAATTGACCCATGCCCCAATTCGCGGAGCGGAGCCTTCTCATGCGGCCGTACATGTCCTTTGACTTGGCGCTGATAGTTTTTATGTGTTCCCAGTAACTCCTTCTGGAGTCGAGACACACTCCTAAGTATTTGGCAGTGGCAGTGGACTCAATCATGGGAGCATCATCTCTCGAGCCAAAGTTGACGCTGTAGCCGGCTTTAAGACCACCTTTAAGAGATAAGAGTTGGCTTTTGCTGTCCGAGAATTCCAGGCCAAACATGCGGGCCCAATCTGTGAGGATATCTAGTTTCATCACAATGCGATTGAATGTGGTTTTCGGTCTAGCGGCTCCGACCATGAGCAGGATATCGTCTGCGTATGCTACTACTTTGGTTGTAACCGTTTCTGGGATTTTTCCAAATATCGGGGTCATAGCCACCTTCCATAAGGTTGGACCTAATTGTGACCCCTGGGGGCACCCTAGGGCGAGCCTTCGACGGTAGTGAATCCCTTCGAAGCTTAGGTCGGCCCATCTGTTGTGCAGGTACGAGTTCACCATTCTGGTTGTCCCGAGAGACGCGCCCAGTTTGTTCATTTGTGATATCGGCGGGGAACACTTCACATTATCAAATGCGCCCGTGATATCAAGGAAAGTTCCAAAGATGTGTCTTGATTTGGACGCGTCGATTTTTCCGTAGACGCTCCTGATGGCGCTTACAGTCGATTTCCCCGTCGTGAACCCATGTTGGTCAGTGTAGGAATCCAGACTAGTTTCCTTTACTATGTGATGTATGATAAGCGTTTCTAAGACCTTACCTAGTACGGGTAGCAGACTGATTGGCCGGAAAGATTTCACGCAGTCCCTATCGGCTTGCCCGGTTTGGGGATTATTATGAGCTTTGCAATTTTCCAACACTCAGGAAATATCCCATCTTGGAGACATCTACCAAAAAGGTTGGTGATTATGTCACCGAGCGCTGGCCAGGCTTTCCTAAGCATTCCTGCCGTAATACCGTCAGCACCGGGGGCTCCGTTTGTCCGTATGCGCCATATAGCGGCTTTTATCACCTCAGGACTTGGAGCAGTTTTGAGCTGTAAAGGGCCATGGGACTCCAAGACGCATTGGTCTGGGTCTGCGGGGACAAACGTGTCCAGAAAGAGCTCAGCAGTTTCCCTGCAGTTGGAGGTGAGTGAACCATCCGGCCTAGTTATAACATTAGGCATGGAGCTTATCGAATTTCCGCCTTTCACCCATCTGAAGGCTTTGCTCCATGGGTTGGAGTTTAAGTTGTCTGCGAAACATTTCCAGGCGAGGATTTTATGATTCCTTATTTCCCTGAGGAATTCGTTACGGAGTTTGTTATATTCTTGTCTGTTGCTATCCCTAAGCCCTAAGCGCCTTTTTCGTACAAGTGTTTGCCGAAGCGCCGAGAGGACTGGGGACCACCAGATATTTTTACTGGGGGTACCATCAGATTTCCTTCGTTGAATGGCCTGGTCCGCAGCTACGGACAGTGCCCTGTTGATGCCCATGGCCGTATATTCAATCGAATGAAGAAGTGCAGCCGCGGGAACGGCACCATGTTGACGGCCAGCTTCCGGAGATCAGAGTTGAGCTGTCCGGGAAACCGGAAGCACGTGGTCACGCCGCACATAGCCGCTGACACCAGGTGAGTACACTTATTGTTGCTCCTGTATCCACAAGTAATGTGACTTCCTCCCCTTCGATGGTGCATTGAATATATGGACTTATGGATTGGTTGGCGGTGATCAACGAATTAATTGCATGTTGTTCTGTACCACTATTTTTTGCTTGTTCTTCGTTGTTGGTTGACACTTGGTTGATTTTTTCAGTTTGTGGTGGGTTGTTCTGTTGAGGTTCCTTGTCATTATTGCGATATGGTTGATTGCCCCAACGGTTGTTGCGTGGTGGCATGTTGTTCCAGCCGCTGTTTCGTTGGTGGCTCCAATTGTTTTGAGTTTTTTGTCCTTCTTGATTGT